TCTTACTTGTCCTTTACTACTTGTTCATATTGAACATGAATGAAGTTATTTTCATACTGGAGACCAGGTTATTCATTTTTGTAATTATAACAAAAAGATCATATAAGAGCTAAAAATATTAATCACTGAGGGAAAATGTCAAAGTAGTAAATTTAAATGCGAATTTTTAGTAGTTTGCTATACTTTGTACAGAAACTCACGCTTGTCTTTGCTATACTTTGTACAAAAAATAACATTTGACTTTGCTATACTTTGTACAAAAACTCACGCTTGTCTTTGCTATACTTTGTACAAAAACTCACGCTTGACTTTGCTATACTTTGTACAAAAACTCACGCTTGACTTTGCAAAACTTTGTACAAAAACTCACGTTTGACTTTGCTATACTTTGTTGACTTTGCAAAACTTTGTACAAAAACTCACGCTTGTCTTTGCTATACTTTGTACAAAAACTCACGCTTGACTTTGCTATACTTTGTACAAAAACTCACGTTTGACTTTGCTATACTTTGTACAACAACTCACGCTTGACTTTGCAAAACTTTGTACAAAAACTAACGTTTGACTTTGCTATACTTTGTACAAACATTCGCGTTTGACTGTAATTATCAATGCGGCCATTGATTAGTTTCCTTTTTTCGAAGTTATGGTTAAGTAAATGAACTAGATATTGGTTATTTTATTTTGAAAAATTACATAAAACCGCAAAATAACATAACATGAACATTATTCCATCTTAAAAAGAGTAATTTGAATTACAAAATAAGCAAACTTAAGTCAAAGGAAAGATATTAATGGCATGCTGTGTACGAGAAAATCGGAGTAAGTACTGGAAGCCATTTTTGTTTAAAGGCGACGGTGTTTTGTGCTCCTGCGTTATCATATATGAAGCCAAAAAATATGTGTTAACCAAACTCACGATAGCTTGACAGATGTACTACACACTAAGGGGTGTGTTACCTTTGTTTATTTTTGTGTTTAGGTTAATGTTTGTATCAATTTTATGAACCGATGACGTAAACCGAAATTTGATGATTATAACATTAATAGTTAGCTTACATGTGCAAAGCCGCAAAAAAGGAGTTTTACATACAAACGGATGTTCTGTTTAAAACTATATTTTGATTCAAGATTTCAAATTATACTTCATATACACTTCAGGTTTAATGATCTCATGATATTTAGATATGTACATTTGAATAAATGAATAAGTATTTAAAAATGGTAAGCTTACTCTGCTCTCTTAAATTTGCATGATTCATGTACATTTTACAAATCATTCTTAATCTATACACAATTTGTTAACTTGCGTATACTGGTTATCAGACCTGCAAAGAAATGTAGATCGTGTAATGTTAGACACTTATAAGAATATTCTTAAGGCAGCAATGAATGGATCGTTTGTCTATATAAAAGTCCTTGTAATTTAAATGTACCTACACATGCAAATATTCAATCTCGTCATGGTTGTTTTGTAGAGTATATGACGGGTAGTTTATTGAATGCTGAGTGTAACATGAGCAAAGACAAACTCGACATCAAAGGATTTAAATATCTATAATTGTAGATAAACTTCAGATTTAGCCTGGTGTTAATGATGCAATCATTGTCAACAGTACATATATTTGATAGTAATGTACTCGTGTCTAATTCTCCACGTAGAAACTTGTGTATAGTGAATAGTCTATCTGAAACATAGTACATATACATTACAGTCTATATTCATATCGTTATCAACTTCTGTATTTGTAGAAGATACGTAATTTTAAAAAGAACACGGTGCAGTATTCCACAAATCAATGCCTTAAATTTTTGCACTGATAATTGAATTCCGATGACAACTAATAGAGAAAAATACACTGTGAAATTGTGATAATTTAGTTTTAAAATGAAAATAATATAAAAACATATTCTGTTATAAGCTTGGGCGTTTCAAGATCAGTGCTTTATTTTAGAAACACAAATGATTCAATATCAATATCTGTCGCTATCAGCTGTGCCGTAAGATGCAAATGAGCTTCCAAAATTAATTGTATTGAGATGATGATTCTTATTTTCGAGATTATGTAAAACAGATGCGAGCGGAATCGACCTTTGTCGGAGAACCATACATTCTGTTGTGAAAATAGCTTAATACCGTTAACAAGAAAGGACTTTATTAATAAAACACGAGTAAATAGATTCTATTGTACTAGCAGTTCTCTCATATAGATTATCAAACAAGTACCTAGGGAAGCATTTCTATAACTTTCTTTAAGAATAATATGTTGACCGACAAACCTCTTTGATATATTCAAGTCGCCAATAATTTTTCCAACGATTAAATATGTTCACAGAATGGTTCTATTCATTCGCACTATGTAGGTTAGTGTGGGTTTGTTTACCGGGTAAGGTGTTGAAATAATTTCAATAGGTCTTTCATTGATGACGTGGTATAGCAACCCAACAAACACACATATAACAAGCAATTTGCACAGAATATCCTTAACATTTATACTTAATCTAAATTAAGATAATTACGGTTAATTAGTTTCAAAACAATAGTGCTGTCGTTAGTCCAGCCTGTACCAACTGTGTCTTTTAAACAATTTAAATCCTAATCTTATCTTTAGATCAGACGAAAGTGACATTTCATAATTAATATTAGGCGAGGCAATATGTTAAAAAAATCCTTTTATTACCGCATATATATGATATATACGTGTAAGCACTCTGGAACCTTTCAGTGATTCTCTTAATATAATCTACATACTTGAAGTACATAAACAATGATGATCCTCACATATCATTAGATAACATACAGTCGTTTGAAATCAACAGCTAAATTTCTCCGGCAGTACATTCTAGGAACTGATTTATTTTCCTTTGATTAAAAAATGACTGAATGAATAAATGAACGTGATATTAATGTAAAAAAACAATAAACAGAAAACATTAAATATGGTTGATATCATTGGGTTCGTGCATTCTGACTAGAGCAATACTATGAAACTTACACATATTTTTATATTAGTTTAAAAAACATAATCTATTTCCTATTTTGTGTTAGCGATTTATAATTAGATTACTAAAAGTAAGTGTGAAATCACTAACAAGACATAGAACGCTTAAAAGATTGTAGTGTTAATAAATCGTTAAATAAACATCGACAATCAATCATACAAATACAAAAGGATATATATTTAAAAAGTAAATATTTCCATGACAATTGCATCATCATCAGTAGATGATAATATGAGAACTCAGAACATATACTTTATTATTTATACTGATTCTGGAGTTCGACGTCGCATAACAGTCTACCGTGAAGATACAACGACAATGGTAACGGTATATCATGATAAAATCAAAAAGTGTTACATTTTGTTTTGGATTAACTAAGAATGATTATTAGCATGCCATTTTTGAATTTGCAATAAATCTTTCCCGCAGAAAGAGATTTTGACAATAACGAGAGAATAATTTCACATGTCTTATCCCATTGAAAGCATCAATTTGGTTGTGTAATACTAAATAGTATCATTAATGGTAACATGGACTATTTACGTAAACCAGTTTTGAAATACCAATTTCATCTTTCTCACTGATAGACTTTTTGACGATAAGAAGAGAACTGTAACATTACATTCCAATGGCCATAACCCTAATGCTTTTTAAATCGTTGACGATAAGAAGAGAACTGTAACATTACATTCCAATGGCCATAACCCTAATGCTTTTTAAATCGTTTGTTGTGATGACGATCAACACATTTAATAACGAGTTATATAATGCTGAATGTTCGATATGCAATTAATTTCCAAAATCCCTTTTCTATTTTAAACAAATTACAGAAAGGATGAATTTATGTAGTTGAAACTAGTGGAGATTAAGGAAGCATTTATAATGCAGCATGTAAAATCAAATAGATAAGTGAATACTGCTATAACGTATATACAAACAGGATGTTTCAATGACCTTTTATTAACAATTATTTTAAAAAAATGTCTTTGTCACCAGTAAAATACGCATGGCTATATCCTTATTCGATCAATTGATTTTTTCCTTGAATTACTTGATATTGTATATTGGTAGATAAGCTCTTGGCAAAGCTGTTAATGTGAAATGTATTATGATGATTTCTATAAACTGCATGATATAATACTGATAAAATTTCAATTACCAGAATCTAATGCTCAATACCAGGTATTTGTCGTAACGAAGCATGACAGCATAAATACACAAAGAGAAAACAATAGAATCAGTAATATCAGTATTACATCAATACGGCTAAGTGGAGATATTTAATTCTATACAACATCTACCAGTAAACAACCGCTACTATAAATTATGATGAGGTATTTCTGTCGTAACTATCACAAGGTTATGGGTACATTTACTATCCTGTCACTGCAGACAAAGACATATACAGGTAATTAACAATACATAAATACAAGCAGTGTGAATTAGCAACAAATTCAAAATACAAAAAACAATTACGAACAACAACATATGATATTACATGTATCTAAGAGATTGACTCCATGTTACTACGTTGTCAGATCCGGCCCTATTGGAAATGGTTGCCACTTGTTTATTAAGCATGTATGGTAGCATGGTTTCCACACACCACTGTTATTTACTGCTGTTGGTTCTTGGCCACTAAACATTTTTAAATGTCCACATGGAAATGTTGATTCTGTTTAAAGTGTTAATGTTGACATTAAAGTTCCTCTGTGTCGTGTTTCTTTAATTCAGTGATTGCTAAAATTCCTTTTACAAACATAGATTAAATAAATCGAGTCTATAATTAAACATCCTTTTTACTCTGTCAATTTTCCGTGACTTTGTTGGTACTATCCAGACACATGTGTAGAATTTTGTCATTTAAGTTACTTTGCATCCCCCCAAAAAAATCACATCTTTACCATGTCGATTACTTGCTCATAACAAGAAATACAATAAGATCCACCTTAATGAACTCACATTGAGGCATAACATAAAATATTACCGAAGTGACATCAAAGGATCGCACAACATGTGTCAGTGCCGTTGTAACGTCGTGCAGCCGATTTTAGCCTGTCTAGTCTATCATTGAAATGACACATTGGCATGTAGTAATATTCCTCTATGAAAGTTACTGTGAAGTACATAGCACGCATAACCTGGTACTCGACCCCACCAATCGTCATGGTCTCCACTACCGGGTACTCCATGTGGGCATCTGGAAGATCCACATACCTGTTTTCGTATTTCCCACATTTCGCATCATTTAATATGATACATTTGTCTATAAGTATCGCTGGGTAAAATTGCACAGAAAGAATAATAAGGTCATCAACTTCATCGTCGGATAGAAGATGAAAGTTTTCGTAATCTCTTAATTTGGTTATGTCGGCAGGATGTTCGCTTAAATCCAAAACGTTACTGATACAGTGTAAATAGAACATAAGATTTGCTCGGGGATTACTGGTAACTTTTACAACTTCCCCCTGAGGGCTAGAACATATATCCAAGTCTATGAGTTCGGCCATTGTGATACAATGGCAGAAGAGTCTTGAACATGTTTGTACCGACCTATCTATGCAGATCCATGCATTGTCAGTCTGTCCTAGGTTGGCATGTAACGGATAACACGGTGTGTATATACCTACATAAATAAATCATATTTGGTAAACGAAGACAGTGAACCTACCGTGTCATTGAATGGTTTCGAAGTATTGAACCTTACACACATATTACAGTGACGTCAATCATATAGTTTAATTATAATTCAACGGTGTTACATGGATCAATGCACACTACGGGGATAGTGCGCCCCGTACCTGTCAAAAGCATACGACCATTAATTAAATAGGTACCTGTCAGTCGTCATACACAAACCCGGTGTTGAGATTATAATTAGTCAGTTGAATTGTTTTCTTTAGTTACAGACTCCTCCCCCGCGGTCAACTTTTTGTATAATCACCTCGGATCAGTTACGAATAGAAAGGGCCGTGATAATTTAAATGTTTGTACTATGTCTGTAGTACCTTTGAAGCAACTAAGTAGCTTTTCAAATTATATACACGACCCTTGGAACACTAGTACTGTATTGACCACAAGGAAAATACAGAGAAATATCGATACGGTAAAGAAGTCTACAGCATGGTTAACCAAACTTTAGAGCGCCTTATTCCAACTACTTGTAAAAGAACACCCGGTATTCCATATTAATATCAATACAGCTTATTTGTTTAATATTCTCTGTTTGTATGGGCATCGTGCAAACGTCGGCAATTACAATTGATATAAATGTAATGTCCAGTTAATGAATTCGAAAATAATTGTATTTCCTTTAAGAACTTAATTAACAAATCACACAAAAGATAAGTCTCTAACGCCTGAATACTCAAAGAGCATGTGATAAAACATATCTATTTTTAGTATATATCGCAGCAAATGTTTAACAGTAAATTATTTTGTCTAGGCCTTCATGGAAGAAGCCAAAGGTTACATTGGTGTCTAGTCTATCCTATCTAAACCCGTCAAATGTCTGACTTTAAATCTATTATGACCATTCATTTTGCCCTAGTAGTGTTAAAGACATGCGTGTTTTGTATGTCCTTGGGGATCTATTTGTAGATATAAGATTTACAGGTGTCATTCTTGTCTATAAATGGCATCGTACTTTGGTAACTGTGCAGATATTATGTATTAGAACATGTCTATAGGGCATGTTCCTATGAAAGATATTAGGTAATTATTATTTCATGTGTTTATAATTAAATTTAGCGATAAAATCGACAACGAATATACACAAGGATACGTCAAAATCAAGGCGAATAGGTATATTAAAATCCGTCTACATTTTAATTCGTTCGAAAAATAGAATGCTTCAGAATATACACGTGTACCTGTCGGTCTTTTGTTATAACTAAATAAATGAAATTATCGAAATATGGGACAGGTGCACTTCCCCATCTTAATTTTGAGATGTTTGTTAATAACTTTGAATTTTCTTCAGTCGCCGTCTAGGTTTAAAAATTTAGGCCTTTAGCATCAGTGACGAGTCCTAGAACGGCGAAACAGCTGTATGATGTAGCATCACTCATAAGTCTTAGAAGGACGAAACAGCTGTATGGTGTAGCATCACTCACCAGTCCTAGAAGGACGAAACAACTGTATGATGTAGCATCACTCACGAGTCCTAGAAGGACGAAACAGCTGTATGGTGTAGCATCACTCACGAGTCCTAGATGGACGAAACAACTGTATGATGTAGCATCACTCACGAGTCCTAGATGGACGAAACAGTTTTATATTGGAGTTTAATTTACATATCTGGTTTTACTGTACAAATTTATATTGAAAGGCGCTTTTCATTTGGTTGTCTGTTGTTCAATCATCGTGCTTTACACATATATATATTAGAAACATTTGTCAGCAAAGCTCCCATAAAATGAAACAGATTAGCAAAGTATATACATGAGATTCGATGATTAAAAATACATCGTATATACGGCAAACAACATATGGCAGTATTAGATCAACACAGGTCAATGGGTCATAACGATCATCTGACTATTTAGACCTATAAAGCACCAATTCCAAATTTAAACAGCAAAGGTGACAAATAACAAAACTAAGCGAATTTCAGTTCCTCGACATAACCACTAATTTTCAGCTCCATGGCACCTTTGGAACTGAAGAAAATTGATTTATGTTTTAAGTTTGATGACCATTGTTGCCATATTAGATTTCAGACCAAACTAAACGCAACCACATTTGGACCAACTGGATAATTCCTGGCAACTTTGAGCTAAATTCCAGTGGTGGAATTTGAGAAAGATATCTAAAGTATTGTAGTAGAAAAAGATGATTCAGAGATCATATTGCATAATCGTAGTCGTCGCTACTATGATGATTTTTTGACGGAGTCAAAATTTTCTATAAGCATTGTGAAACATTTTCTTCTCGTTGATAAGTATACTACTATAAAATATAAATTCTTTAATCACACAAACTGTGGAAAATGTTTGTCATATGTGAGTATTTAGTGTTGATGTATAATGTGTACGCGATGATATTGTTACATTTAAATGTATTTCTTCTCATCAGAGTCTTAATAAAAATGATGAGCAAAGTAGCCAAGGTGTTTTACATCTATTACACATGTATGTGAACATTTAAAGTGTTTTTGAGAAAACAGGTGTGTGGATGCAGCTTTTTCCTAAGCCAATCAACACAGGGATCTCTGTTTGTCGATGATTTTCTATCAACTGCAGGTCATGAAATATGCACACAACGACCATTGTAACAATGTCGGAACAAACTAAAACTCCCCTCATATAGATAGTTTTAAATTCTCAAAATTTAAAACTGTGTATATGAAGCTCTGTCAGAGGAGGAAGCAACATAGTGATCCAAGCCCTACTCTGAATTGTAACTTTATACAAATTATCAATCAAACTAACTTTCTTGAGGAAACATTTTACTTAAATCTGACCTTCATTCCAAGCATTAAATGTGGTAAAAAAGTACACCAAGACATTAAACATCTGACAAGTTATATCCCACACAGATTGTGGAAGAAACCGTCAATACTTTTACGGCTTTAACCAACACTTTCGATCCAACTGTTCAATTGTATATGGGTCAGCATCATACAGAGGCTTGAACCAAGACATAATCAAGGACTTTGTCTTGCATGAGAAGGCTTTCGAACAGCTCTATCGACAAGTCTTTTGTGAACAATGTTATGCACTATCCATTCTCTAGTTTCAATTTGAAATCAAATAATAACAAAAAAAACTGGATTTGATCAAGTAAAGTAACCATAGAAATATGTTTAGCCAAAGCAAAAAACTGATTTCAGTAATTGGTTTACGAGCCCAAAAACGTTTTTATGACTTAGACTTTTCATTACATGTTCTGGGCAAGTCGACTGCGTTTCCAAATACATACAATGCAAACATCTCTGAACTCACATTATCCTTCACAACCTGTTCTATAAACACTGAATGAGTAACTAGTTGTAGTAGCATGATATATCAAAAACATTCCGTTCGTCTTCCTGATGATGCTTTCATATTCTCTGCAGAAGTATGTGTCATGGATTGAGTGTTCAGAAAAACCAATCGTGAGCTTAAACTCACTGTTCAAAAATGTCTTAAGTTACACATGACTTCAAAACATGTCTAGGTCAAATTTCAAGAGACTGATAATATTTCTGTGAATTCCAGGATACCGTTGAAAACGCTAGTAGTGGGAAAGCTAACAGGACAGTCGAAAACGCCCTAAATCTGTTACAGACTACATAAGCTACCATATACTGATGTTAAACCAACCATATAGGCTGTATACAGTCAAAAACGCCCTAAATCTGTGACAGACTACATAAACAACCATATACTGATCTTAAACCAACCATATAGGCTGTATACAGTCAAAAACGCCCTAAATCTGTGACAGACTACATAAACAACCATATACTGATCTTAAACCCTCCATAAAGGCTGTATACAGTTAAAAACGCCCTAAATCTGTTACAGACTACATAAATTACCATACACTGATCTTAAACCCTCCATATAGGCTGTATACAGTCAAAAACGCCCTCTGTTACAGACCATAAATTACTACACATATAGGCTGTATACAGTCAAAAACGCCCTAAATCTGTTACAGACTACATTAATTACCATATACTGATCTTAAACTCTCCATAAAGGCTGTATACAGTCAAAAACGCCCTAAATCTGTGACAGACTACATAAACAGCCATATACTGATCTTAAACCAACCATATAGGCTGTATACAGTAGAAAAACGCCCTAAATCTCTTACAGACTACATGAATTACCATATACTGATCTTAAACTCTCCATAAAGGCTGTATACAAAGATAGTTGACAGCAACGATGGTTTCAATAGACTAGTAACCAACTACTCAAAATGCAAGAAACTGCAAGAACATCCCTTCCTGACCCAACAAACCGTAGTGAAGAAGTTGTCCATTCTCGGCTCCGAACAGGGCATGCATGTGTTTACCCTACCATTTCCATTAAGAGAAGACCAAGCTGCTTGTCGTACATGTGACGTGATTTTTTTGTAGAACTTTTCAGCATTTCTTTATTATATCCACAGTGTTGATACAGATACTGCATATGTGGGCGTCATGCAGTTTGAATGATACGACAAAGAAATTTAAAATTAACAATTAACAAGATCGATGGCATATTGTAGCAACATCATTTAATTTAAATAAACAGAATTCGGACAATTTTGCACAATTTCCCGACCTTTTATTGCTGTTAATATTTTTCCGCCAATGATTCGTAGCACCGGCTGCAACGCCAAAATTTCTACTTCTTCGGTCTCAGAAGAATCTCGCTCTTTGCGAGACTGGGTATATTATTTAGTGTGTTATAGTATATATCAAAATATCTTAAATCCTTGTTTGCCACTGACATCCTATCATGGAAATTGTGACATTTGAATCCAGCCCCATGTAAACTATATATATTGTGGAAGTAGTGGGTCACTGTCCAGAAATAATGGTTTCGCTGAAGTTAAAGATCGAAATAATCAGCTGGTGCATTTGCAGGCATATATGGTTACACGTCTCGTCTTCGACTTTCAGTTCAGACGGGTATATACAATGAACTATATATTTCTAGTTATTTCAAGACAGGGCATCACCAATATATCTACAAGTAAAAACGAAAGACATTTAGTCCAGTGTTTTTCCCTTCCAGTCTAAATTTTATCGCATGGTAGTGGATCAATTCACTTCATATTCTTGAGCTGATTCAATATAAAAAAAATCCCGGTGTATTTCAATCACTTTTATTTCAATCAGTCATATCAACAACTCGATGACCATACAATTCTGCATATTCAATCCGAAACAACCCAATCCAAGAATATTTGCTATCAACTGCAGCAAAAACAACAATGTGTCCCTATTGACATGCTTTAGATATTTGGTGTGCTATTCTTTTGGTAAATCTTTAAGAAGAATAGAAAGTAGTCAGGAAAAGCCAGTTATATCCTACATATACATTCATGTTACACAGAATCATTTTTTCTTTTCCTTTAATCAAGAGATATCAATGCTGCACATTTCCGAATTGTACACAGTCCTTAATCAACTAAAGCTTTCGAAGGAGAACTGAAGATTATTTCATTAAAACAACTGATTCAATGGGTTATCACACAAGCTTATCAGGTCAAACATTCTTACAATACCTAACAACTCTCATTACTGTTTTTATCATCATTGCTTGAAATACATTACAATAAAGTAAATGTGGGTCAGCTTCCTACAGTGGCTTGAAACAAGTCATAATCAAGGACTTTGTCTTGCATGAGAAGCCTTTCGAACAACTAGCGACAAGTCTTTGTGTAAAATGTTATGCACTATCAATTCTCTAGTTTCAATAGGTGTTTTACTGGAATAGCCCTAAACAGAACATGAAGTCCAGGTGGGTGAGATAGGTGTTTTACTGGAATAGCCCTAAACAGAACATGAAGTCCAGGTGGGTGAGATAGGTGTTTTACTGGAATAGCCCTAAACAGAACCTGTAGTTCTGGGAGAGGGTGGGGGCAGGGGTAGGTGTTTTACTGGTATATTCCCGGGTAAAACGTTCCAAATTACTGTATACTTAGAAATTTTGATGCTGTTAAAAACAGGGCAAACATCAATAAATGGTTGGCTACATGTTGGATGATAAAGTTGGAATATATGGGACTTTTGGTGTATTTAGGGTGCTTTTAACACTGGGTGAAATATTGACAGCTTAATGGAAAATCATGAAAAACAATCTTAGGCAAATGTTCCTCTGTAACTCAGTAAGTGAAAGAATCTCAATATGAGTAAAACCAGTATAGACTTTGTAAACAGAGCTGATTTGAATCGTATCAAGTTTTTTTGTTGTCTCCATGGATATTACCGACCATGTGTTATATTTTGATATCTGGAAATCAGGAATGCTTCTCTCATCAGCCCTTCCAAAAAGCTAATCCAAATATGCTTGTATAAGTTCCGTGTTTAAGTCAATAACTGCAAATTCTATAACATATCCTATACAAATGTTAAGCCGATACATAACAGTACTATAATAAGGTATCAGATAAGTGTTAAACTATACTGAGTTGATGGAAACATTGACCATTAATTGTAACAGAAATCATCACACCACTAAATCATGGTGATTTGTTGCTATACATGTATATTCCTTAACTTTGTCTTCAGAACAGGAAATTGTTCGAGGTAGAAATTTTGGAACACATAACATAAAGACTATCCAAATAGAAAGAAAAAGGAATGATTAAGGCTTTGTAAAAATAAATTTCTTCACTAGCATTCTTGATTTTACAAGTCGAGACCTGTTTGATATAATTTTATCACCTACAATTGTGATAATTCTGTAGTTTGGTTTTGAAGAAGCAATATTGGAAACTTCCATGAGAAAGGGATAGTTTAGTTAAGTTGATTCTTTCTTTACATCCTATTAACAACTATGGTCACTGGAATATGATGTAGCAGTGATATCACTACACTTCACAACTGTAAAACATATTACATATTTTATTAGTACTGCATCCCCAGCAGCATCAACAATAAATTTCTCCTTTCTGATTTTTATACACTGTTCATAAATTAGCATTAAGCATAGTTCAATATGACAGAATTAATTGATAGTATGATTGGATATATGTGAATCAAAAGAAAATTAATAAATATATCTGATAATTACATTCTATACACAAATATATTGTAACAATACAGTAGTGAAAATTGATAAACAGAAATAAAAAAATTCTATTCTTTCTCATGATCACAACTCAGATGTTTCCTATTGCTGGATAAAAAGTATTATTCCCTTCCCCCCAAAAAAATTCAATAATTGTTATACAGATCACTCTCTGCTACAAAATGCACAATCCGGCATTGATTTCAAACTGAAGTAGAAAGTAAAGTCAACTATTGCTTTTTCCATTTCTGTAATGATACATCTAAGGAAAAGATACGCTTGCTGTACATACAAACAACACTGCATTTCATTTATACCAAATTTGTATCAAATCCTCCAATATCACACCTTTAATGTCCTATAGCAAATAATTTTTCATGGTACGAGGACAAATTACAGGTTTATTCAAAACATATGGGACAGGCAATTAATTTATGGGTTCAAACCATCTGTGGATATTTATACAGTAGAAAACCGCTGAGTAAGTCTAATAGGTTATGGCCATCTTAGAAACTGTCTCTTCATCCAAACGATGTGTCAGAATTTGCCTTTAAATGAATAATTGTAGCCCAAAGCAGCTTAGTTGAATGATAAAAGTTGTTGGATCCCAACATCTATATTTCATGATACAAAATCAAACCTGGGATTTCAGAAAACAATTTTTTTCCAAATTTTATCATTCATATGCAATGATAACAAATAAACAAGCACCACAGAAGAAAAATACAAGCCAGGCATTTGACTTTTTAACGGAAAAAAATTGTTTTAACTTGAAACAATGTTGAAATGCTTTAAAAACATCAACAAAAGATTAGATCATACTTTTTCACTAATGTCTGTACAATCACTTACACCATACATAGAGATTCCATGGCATACAGACTTCAAAGTCCTTCCTAGACAGAAAAAATGTATCATTTCATCAGTGGGGCACACGATGGGTATTCTTACACTACACATCACACCGTCTAGATATCTGTCTATAATGGAACTTGTGTAATAAAACAGGGCATGACTGAGATTTCTCTTAACCTGGACATATACATCCACACTTCTACTGGGGTAAGATTTCTTTGTCATACCCCTGGGGAGATTGGGGGGATTCCCATGTCATAACAATAGTATGACATCACAGCAACAAAACAATGACATCGTGTTGACCATGCTAAGCATTGATACAGCAAAATTCCATGTATGAAACCCAGAACAGTAATCAGAGTAAAATAATAATTTTATCCTCATCAGAGTTGTATGAAGTAATCTAAACCATTTGGGAAAGATTATAAAGTTGTCATCTATTTGCAAACATTGTGTTAGCCAATTTAAGAATATTTCCCCCTTAGTTTAGATCACTCTCGAGGGATTATAATATTCTATTGTTATCCAGACTAATTAAAGCTTGGAAACTTGAGTAGGAAAGGCAGACTCATCCATACATGGTTGGAAGAGTTATCCTGATCATGTAAACTCTGTCTCAATAACTTCACACATATTACATCCATTCTATCATAAAGTTGACAGCATTTCTTTAATATTCACACACAACTATGAAATGTACCAAGTTAAATGTAATACATGTAATACACATGTAAATAGTGTTAGAGAGGTTTCACCTTTTAGTCTTGTGAACATATTTTCATCCAGTCATGTCTACATTCTAACTTAACCTGCCAACCCTACATACAATAATGACTGTCTAATGACCAGATACATACAGTACATGGTTTTCAGAATTGGCCGGTAGATGAGGGAATGGGAAGCCAAAACAACAAATGATTTTCTCAGAACAGCAAAAGCATATATAAAGTAAAGTATGCTCTGCAGTCTAAATACATCAGAGCTTGGACTGCATAGATCCCTGGAATAGATCTCTCATCTCGAGCAGTGTATTCCTCAGCATGTTGATGTAATTCTTAGAGTTTGTTTCTGGAGTTATATTGAAGGCTGATACTCCAAAGTGTACCTAAGAAATAGATAATAAATCTTCAGTTCATGGAGATATTTCTAAACTATAACATTACTCCAGTAATTACTTCAAGGTAAATGGCATACAATGTATACATGATTAAAGTCCTTCTCTCACTAATAATATTTTCATTGTTAACAAATATGGTATCTTTTGGCCATCAAAATATTTAGCATCACATCATACAATAATCGTCATATAGTAGCTTTATAGCAAAGCACTATGTATATGAAATGAATCAGGCAGGTTATAAAGATTTACATTTGCATAATGTTCAACAATGATGTACATTATTGTTTTTAAAGAAATCCATCCAATAAGAAAAGGCTAATAATGCATATCACATCTTTAATTTTTCTTGGAATGAAAAAAAAGTAATTTTAAAGCAGATACTCTGTTGATTATTGAACAAAGTAAGATAGCTTACCTGGGCATCATTATTCACATAAATATCACACAATCTTATTGGTGTCTACTTGGTTTTCTTATTGAAGATATATAAGACTTTATATAGATGAAACATATCCTACCTGTGTTTCCTGTGGGTTGTAACACACACCGTAGCCATCAGGAACAACAGGACCAAACACCAGTACAGAATCAGAGTGTGCTGGCACCTAATAATTCAAATCATAATGATTTATTTATTTATTTATGTATTTATTCATTCATTTGTTTATTTATAAATGAGATATGTGCTTCATATGTATATTTATGAATTTTGACATTAGAGCAATTGTTAGCAGTGACAAAAATTCAATAAAAGTTACTTTTCTTTTAAATTCACCTGCAAGGATAACAGGTACATGTAAAATGGTTTTTGCATTTATATTATTACTGGTATGTAAGAACAGATTCCGATTTCACATCATCGTACATGAATTCAGGAAAGAGAAATAGTTTTGTAATTGTCAAAATATTTGGTGTTACATTTTTTTCGAAAAAAAAAAAAAAAAAAAAACGACTATGAAATTTCCCTTGACATATCGTTTCATGTGTGGTAGATCTGAGAGTCTGAGGTGAAGTGTTTTTTAGTACCTGGCTTGTTGACATTCTGAAGTGTGTACTGAGGGTGTACGCCATGTCCATATGGAGATCTGGTACATTCATGCCATTCTTTATGGCTGCTAATTTCAGCCCCAGAAGATGTCGATCAATACCGTTACCTTGTATCACCTGCAACACCAAGGTTTTTATGATAAAGAATAGTTTTTTCTTTTTTTTTCATGAAGTTTTGCAACTGGTTTACCCCTTCATAAATGTTAAAAATACAAATTTGTCTCTATATATTATACCATTTACATCATATTCTGTTATTTTAGCACAGACTTAGTAAATAGTTCTTATATAATATATGAGAAATGAAATGGAGAACCCTGATATACGATAGGAAGTCAAAGATGATTGGACAACTGTATATACTACAGACATACCTCGTTTGTGTAAGATTTGTGTGCTTGTACAGCGTTCCTGAGTAGCTCAACCTTACGCTCCTTAGGTGTATTTGAATTCACAAAAGCTTTACAGAATTCTAGTGAGGCCTCTGAACATGAGCGGATAGTATCTGTCCTACCCAGGTGGAACATCCGCAATGTACCAGTCTCATAATGCGGTGCTGGCTCGTTGTGTATTCTATAGTCAGGTCAAGTAAGCACACATACAAACAATTTTACAACAAGATTAAAGAATGTGATATTTGCATATAAATGTAATAAATGCAGGTAATTCTGGGGGCTGAAATAAAAACCTTTTATCTATAGGTTTTTTTCAATTTGATATTTCCAGGCTAGAGAGCATATAAAAAATATTGGGGAAAGGAAATGAAAGGACAGTACTTCACTTAACTATTCAACACAAACAGATACAAAATATTTATGGAAAATATACAGATGGTACATTAAGTTCACTTGGGTCTACCTCCATCAATATTTAACATCTTATTTCAGGGGCCCTTGCAAATCTTATTAGTAATGATAGATTGTGTAAACTGTACATGCCAGTGTAGCAGGATCAGACATACTGACCTGTAGTAAGCAAGCTGTATAGCGTTCTGTAGGAAACTGTCAGGACTCATCTTTTGTGACTTTGGGAAATTCTTGCCATAATCTTTGAACACAAATACATTTAGATCCACATCGTCAACCAGCCTACAAAATCATAAATCATCACATTGATAAATGATACAATTCCATGTATATTGATTATAATGTTTAACAACATATTGTAGCATACAAGTACATAAGCTATTCTTGTTGGAAAGTATATATATACTGGTATTCAACAAAAGTCTTTGTAAAATCAACTTCAAAATTCAACTTATCTTTTGAAAGGCATATGGTAACAGGGGAGGTAACTGCAACATGTGTACTTACACATCCAGATGTGTCCGGGCTGTGTCTATCATTTCTTTGATATTCTTACTGAGGTTGAATGTGAGCTTTGTGGGAGTGGCTGGAGCTGGAGTATCTGATCCAGGTGAATGGTTTTCAGAACTGTAAAAATAATTACTTCAACAAGGATTTGTTTCATGTTATTGAGAAATTATTAATAATTCAGATGCGGATATGGAGTTTGAAGATTGAAGCTAAATCCTATAGTCCAGGGTAGTAAAACTGTACCCAGCATAACATGTAATTATAATAGGTCTCTTTTCCTCATACATGAAAAACAGATGTGAGAAAAACAAAAGCATCAATGCATCACAGAAACTGGCAGTAGTAGATTATCAGTCACATATCTGTCCAGCTTTAGCTACATGAATCTGTAACCAAGCCCTACAATTGAACTCACCAATATTTCACGACATGATCAAGCAGCATCACAACAGGTGGCCCTTCTGCTGATGTGTGTTCATAGGTTAGTCCACTGATCCCCTCTCTCCCAACCACAAACTGAAGGCAGAAAAGATTGAGTTTCAACTTTTATCTATTCTTTTATAATTCGTTTTAACAAAGCCTGTGTAAACTTACTAGAATTATGTCTGTGAAACATGTACATCCCTAGTCCTGCACTGATATAAAACCTAGGCCATAATCCAAAAACATGTCACCAAAAAAAACCAAAAAAAAACAATAAAAATATGTCACAAAAAGAAAAAAAAAACAATAAAAATATGTCACAAAAAGAAAAAAAAATAACAATAAAAATATGTCACAAAAAGAAAAAAAAAATAACAATAAAAATATGTCACAAAAAGAAAAAAAAAATAACAATAAAAATATGTCACAAAAAGAAAAAAAAAAGAAAATAAATATGGAAACTAAATGAGAAATTATTGAGTTACAAAATTGTAAAGTAATTGATGTTACATTTTATATGTCACTATCTACATTTGTGTGGCCAGTATTATAAAAGATCAAAGATCACACCCTCATTATTTATGTGAATCCTTATCAAACATTTAAAAGAAGTTTAAAACATTAAAAACCCCCAGCATTATTCACAATGTGCATTGTGACAAGGGATATAGTGTATGTCTTGCAGTATAATTATGGTAATAATCCCGAAACAAAACATTGAATTACATCTATATATACTGTCAGATTATATAATCTACATCAGTTTTAAAACTCAAATGTTTATAGTTTAGAGTGATATACATACATAATTGTTTAAAGATCACTAGATTTTACTGCTATAAATATACATTGTAACCTTGATACATGATGTTGTAAGAGGATGTAAACAGATTACCTGAATCGTTTTGTCAAACCACCTATTGCCAGAGTTTAGACTATCACCTCCCCCGTGTAACATTTGTTGTGCTGCCACACTGCGTTCATCACTCATATCCTGTGGAAGGTTGTTGTCAAGACATACTAAACAAATACTGTGATTGATTTTTCTGAGGCTGGCACTGTTCTCCTGATCTGTGGACAGTTAAAAAAGGCAAAAACAAAACATACATGAGTATTATGTATCTTAAGAAGTGTCATGGGCAGAAAACACAATGAACAAGGAAATGTTCTCTGAAATGAACTGGCTATGATCTGATGGGTTGTGTATATACAGTGGGGAGCTTAAAACTATCCATGAAATAACATATTCCTGATTCCTGAGAAAACTAAAAATCAGACAAAAATGCAACAGATCAAGCCAGAAAAATACCACAATGCAGATTTTCAAGTTACTACTTTCTTTACTTCTATTCATTTGTTGAAGTGATTTTTGATCTCATCAAAATCCTGCCCATCTAGTTTGATGCCATGCTCTTCAGCATATGATAAAAACATCACACTTTGCGTATCATTTGTAATGTTTTTTTGATGTACAAAAACGTTTGGCATTGTTGTGTGCTTTGTTGAAAGGCATTGTTTTACAAATAAACCTCAAATCTAGGGCTAGCATATTACTAAGAATCAGCTGGTTTTCAGCTCAAGATTATTTTGTTACCGTTTACTAGTTCACTGTAGGCCTTGGCCCAAGTTGACCTGTTTTCTGTGGTAAGGAGTCCCACAGGAGTAGCCACCTGTGCTGATTCCTGAACTAAACTCTTCAGCTGACGGTAGATCTGGGCCTCAGACAGGGGCCTGCCATCAGCACCATACACATCTAGTGAAAAAAACTGCAACAGAGGTGATTTTCTTTTGACTAGTTGTAAGATGCTTTCAAACTTGTTTCACAACAAGTGTTATTGTTTTTGACTCACATTATTATTTTACTTTGAGGCTTTTTTTGGGCAATTATTCTGACAATAGCTCAGTTCAACAATCTTCACCTTCCCCTTTTTCTCTACACCTGAATATTCCTCCTATACTCTAGTAAAGATATTTAACCTATACATCATTAATGGGGATTTTTATTACAGGTAAAATTCAATACATTCCTTTTTCTACTAGTTTGTTTCAAATCTCACAAACCTCGAAGTTTATGCAGAGTAGATACACTTACCTGATTGTTGTGAGCCACTATTATGTGCTTTGGAGCGTTAGATTCGTTCGGTGGATAACAGGCCCAACTGTCACACTTTTTACCAGGTGTCCGACAAGCAGACAGGATCTTGTAGTACTGAGTCATACACAGAGGTTTTTTACCCATGTGTTCCACAGGCAAGTTCTGGCTGTAGACCAAAAATGTGATTTATAATATAGACCAAAAAGGTAATTTATGATAAAGACATTTTTGTAAGATCTGTGATGATTACTATGTTCCTTTGTCTTATTTCAAATACAAAATGTATCAATGTAATTGCTAGTTACACTCAGTAATTATATGAGTACTACAGTGGACCCTCGACAATCTGAACACCTTCCTTCCTGGTCAAAATCATCCAGATGACGTGTTTTCCAGACAGTCGTGTTTAGACAATCACCAATATAACCAGGGTTATCTCCCTTGATTACCTGATGATGAAGTCATCAGTATGATTGTTTTCAAATGTCTACATAGTATTGACTGTAAAAAAAATGTCTTTTATTGTTTGAGTAAGTTTCTTTTTCAAAAATAGTTATATAAGAATTAAAATTTCCAAGGGGAAGGTTTTCGCTATTCATTAAAGTGAAATATTGCAGATGAGTCCTTGAATGTCTGCTCTGTATCAACAATGATCTTTTACTAATTCATATTTAATAATCCATTCTTTCTGAATAAAATTTACATATAGAGTACTTATGGTGTTTTGCCACAATTTTCTGGCCAATTTGTTGATGATAGTTTGTTGTCAACTGGAATTATTTTCAGAATCAAGTGAGTCGGTTTAGCTGACTGCATAATGAACACATTTAAGTATTTTAAATACATGTGTGTAGGAGATTTACCAATTTAAACATAATGAAATACTGTAATTCAAAAATTGATTTTTTCTTCTCATTTCACTTTCTTATCTATTAGTTGAATGATAACATGGAAATCTATGCCATGTTTTTCCTCATTACATATGTGAAAGTATAGAGGGACAATTCCCCTATTGTTATTAGTCTTATTAGATTCGAACTTCTATGATGTCACATTTCTATGATGTCACATTTCTATGATTTCCTATTTCTATAATTTATATCAAGTTTTCATTACATTTTTGATCTATTTCATCTCATTACGATTTATGTTAATATAACAATATATATCCCAGTTAGTATCATACAAAAAACTTAGGAAACAACAACATTTCTCTCCATATAGAACATGCCATGTATAAAGGTATTGAAAATTAATTGTCAAATGTTTAAAAACAAGACTAGACTAAAGTTCTGATACTTTCCTTACAATTATTTCAATTGGTCCTGTATAGAAGTACCATTAACTTTAACAAGAGTCCTAAAAGGGAACGCTTTGGGTGATGATAGAGTGGCAGTCGCTTGGATTAAACATGGTGTCTAGCAGTATGCAGTACACCTCTGGTACAGGAAACAGAACACAACAAATTTTCTTCATGTGGTAACAAAACAAATGCCCATACTATTGCAGGAATACTACAAAGAAAACTTCATTCCATTTCCCAAAAGTACTCCCAAAAGTTAGAATTCTAATTTCCAGACTGGTGAATATAATTAGTATTATGGAAATCCAACATTTGAGTCTGCATGGTGAGTTTTGTCTACTATCAGTATTCAAATTATCAAAGGTTCACTGTATATGAAAGAGAATATACTTAATGCCAATATGAACCAAACCATACCAGCGAATTGGGAACAGCCTGACTAAAACAGAAGACACCCGAACGACACAATAACCATGAACTTTTCATCATTGGAAAATAAAACATGTCAGTCTCTCGTCAGTGTTAATTGAACAAGTCAACATTCTATGGAAGGTCACGTCCTGTAGGAGGTCACCAAACAAGTCAGCATGCTATGGGAGGTCACCAAACAAGTCAATGTCCTGAGGGAGGTCACCAAACAAGTCAATGTCCTGAGGGAGGTCACCAAACAAGTCAATGTCCTGAGGGAGGTCACCAAACAAGTCAGCATGCTATGGGAGGTCACCAAACAAGTCCATGTCCTGAGGGAGGTCACCAAACAAGTCAGCATGCTATGGGAGGTCACCAAACAAGTCAATGTCCTGTAGGAGGTCACCAAACAAATCAATGTCCTGAGGGAGGTCACCAAACAAGTCAGCATGCTATGGGAGGTCACCAAACAAGTCAATGTCCTGTAGGAGGTCACCAAACAAGGCAATGTCCTGAGGGAGGTCACCAAACAAGTCAATGTCCTGAGGGAGGTCACCAAACAAGTCAATGTCCTGAGGGAGGTCACCAAACAAGTCAATGTCCTGAGGGAGGTCACCAAACAAGTCAATGTCCTGAGGGACCAAACAAGGTGTCCTGACACCAAACAAGTCAATGTCCTGAGGGAGGTCACCAAACAAATCAATGTCCTGAGGGAGGTCACCAAACAAGTCAATGTCATGTGGGAGGTCACCAAACAAGCCAATGCCCTGTTGTAGTTCACCAAACAAATCAATGTCCTGTTGGAGTTCACCAAACAAATCAATGTCCTGTTGGAGTTCACCAAACAAATCAATGTCCTGTTGGAGGTCACCAAACAAATCAATGTCCTGTTGGAGGTCACCAAACAAGCCAATGTCCTGTTGTAGTTCACCAAACAAATCAATGTCCTGTTGGAGTTCACCAACAATGTCATGTTGGAGTTCACAAAACAAGTCAATGCCCTGTTTGAGGTCACCAACAAAGTCCTGTTGGAGTTCACTGTACAATTTATTCTCCTGAAGAAGGTCAACAAGTAAGTGGCAAATATCTTGTTCAATATTTTCACTTAATCTTTAAAAGAAATGTTTACAATAAACTATCAACTATCCCTCCAACTAGACAAAAAATATTGAATTTTCCTTAAAAAAAGAATCTTACGTGTCTATCATGACCTTGAAATCCAAGACACCAGCAATTAACTTGGATGCAAATCTGAAAAAAAGATCTATTTATAAAGACAACAGACATTAAAATGCCATCTTAATAGTCATTTTTATAAGATGTTATTATAATTTCTGATAGTGTTGTAACTTTAAAGACGTCTTTTCTGAAATAAGCACTAGAGAGCAATGTTACTACATAAATATATTTTGATAGGTGTCATGTGTAACATTTACCTCTTCGTGGGGAAGGACTTGTTAAAGCACTATAGAGTAACATTTATTGGCATTCTTAAAGGAAATACAATAGATGTGAATTGTTGTATTAACATGTTTGGTCATTATCACCAGAAAAATAAACATTTTTGTTGGTTTAAGACTAAACTTTTACAAGTAATTTAATTTAATTGAATCAAAACAAGCAATAACTGAAAGTCAACCTATAAGCAACTGTCATCCAGTTTCATTACAATATCACAGTGATTTTTTACAGGTGTACACTACAGTTGTAGAGTCTAACCTCAGTTGTCCTTCCTTGTCTCGGTAGCTCTGTCGAGGGAATACAATACCAGGACTAACATTTACTGGAACAGGTGATCTAAACTCAAGGTAGGCTGTCTTCATCCACCAATCTGATAGCTGAAATTTGTCACCAAGAAATCTCAGAAATCATGTCAACAGAGTTAATTAAATTTATCACCCAAATTATTTTGTTTGAAAAAAGTTTACACAAATTGATCATTGTGCATTGCATGTATATATAGTACCAACAGGTAGTGTTTATAGGGAATGAAATGAAAAAACACTCTGTTTACTCAACATTTTACAACTTTTTAAATACATATTATGATATACTTTCAGTCTTCAATTTTACTTACCCAGTTTTCCTCCTGGTTGGCTTTGTACTCTAAAAGTTTCTGAAGTTTAGGTCCTGGGTTTCTACTGAAGTCCTGTACTATCTATTAGAAAAACCGAAACACAATCTAGTAATGATTTACGATAATAGAGAACCTAATAATCAACAAACCTAATTTTAACGCATCTTAACAATACAATGACTCACAAATATTTACTCAATATAGGTAATCCATTTTGATATACCAATGAAGTATTTTTTATCTGTATAGATTAAAAGAAATCCATGTAAGAGTGACATAATTTTAGATTTTGGTGTTCTAGTTTAAATATAAAACATTAAAGTAATAACAATTTGCAAACTAATATATACAATGGGGACATATAGTAATACATCCACAATGCTTAACAAATACATGTATTTCTAGCAGTTTTCTGAAAAATGCTGAGTATAACAATAACACTTGCAAACATTGACTCTTATAATATACATGTAAGTAAATCTCCTTTATAAAGAGTTTGATTGCTTTCAGAAACTTGTTTGGTGTACTTCAGGACTTAGCTAATTAATGTTGGCCAATTTGAAACCTACACATAATCTATACATGTAAAAATTAATAACAAACTATTGCATCAGATAATGCCAGAGGAATGATGATTTAAACATCCTTACTGCAGTGAAAGAAAGGTATCATGTCTTGTAGATAAAGCATTTTACAAATAGAATAGAATATCAAATTTAAAAATACTGTGATTATATCACAATCCAATACCATATAAAATGTATGTTATGGCCACAACAGTACCTGTTCTGTGGTCTTGAATTCCTCATCACTGAGTAAGGGTCTGACAGACTTCAGGTATTTGTTGAGGGTCTGTTCGAGTGGAGGGACTGGAAGGCGGGGCAGTGATGCTTGAAGAGAGAACATCTTTCCTGGAGGTGGCTGTGTCATGGCTGTTGATGTACACTGGGTAACTCTCACTATTCCTCGGGACTGTATACAGAAACAAAAGAAGCTTAACATACAGGCTAGATATCTTAATGCTAAAATGGCCCACAACTCTCACTACACCTCAGGAACGCAAAATATAACGTGTACATGACCAAATATATAGCAGACTACTAAAGCTTTATTCCAAGGTACGTCAGGGCAACTGTCACTGTACCTTTGGAATGTCTAGAACAGAAACCATTAGGTTGGACTTCAATTGATGTATGCAGTATAAAAATAGGTTGCCACTTTAATTGATGAGCATTGGGAAACAAATAATAAGTCTCCTGATCACAGTATATAGTAATCCTATTGAACACTGTGTTGTCCCAATTATATAGCCAAATCATCTGTTAAAAATACACATACACAGCTGTACAGTGTTCCCTCCCTCATGACTACTTATTGAAAATTTTAAGAAATGTCAGTTCAGATCATTAATGAGGGAGAGCTAGCTAAAAGAAAACTGAAATAAATCATATCTGATAATTAATTTGTGACACCAGAAGGAGAGTGCACGTACCTGATTTTGATCTATGTAATGTTCAATGAAGTAATGACAACTTTTACTATCACCATCAGCTGATAAAGTTCAGTGTTGGATCAGTACTACAAGTTTTCATCCACAGATGTATTCTGATCGTCATTTTGAACTTTAGTCTATGGTCATGATCCAGATAACTACATGCATATATGTATTGGGTAAGGTTTAAGTGAAATCCTCAGACTATCTACACACCTAGATGTGTATTCATGAACTGTCCTATATTTTCACCCCTGTAATTGTGATATCAGAGTGCCCAGACTCATCTGTAAACATTTACACTGACAGACACACCAAAAATGCATAAGAATACTTAACATATATTTAAATACTAGTAAGTGATCATATGGCAAAGAATTTTACCATCTGCGTATTGTTTGAGTTATATTTTTCAGAAATTCCACAAATCTTTAAACATGAATGTGACAGCGTGTGTAGTAGCATATGCTAGGCCTAGTCAATCAATATTAATATTAAATTAATTAATTAAATTAATATTAAAGCTAATGTTTGGGAGACAAAAATCTTCTTTTAATATATAGATGAACATGAAGGCCTGTATAAGTTATGATGAACATGCATTTACAGTCAAAGCAATCGAATATGTCACTCAACCCACGCGATGTCAGGCACTAAACTTGTATCTATAGTTACGTGCTTTTAAAAAATCCAACAGTATTTTTGTCATTTAAAAACGATACAAAATAAAGAAAAAAGAAAATAAACTGATTGCAAGTATAGCAAATTAATATACAATACAATTGAAACTTGTGGTCTTGAAATCACTTGAGTCGAAATTCCGTTGGATTCAAAATAATTTTTCAAGTCTTTCCTTCTATATCTCTGTATATGCTGGAAAAGGAGTGTACTCACACAGATAAATGAAAGCAGGAAATTTACTGGTTTTTATGATAGAATGACTACCGGTTTAGTCATTGCCTCTTCATGACTATTTACCCTGGTACTCTTAAAGCTGCCAAGGTGCATTAATTGTCTAGATCAATATGTATGTGTATATAATGTACATTAAATATATGTCACTATATAAACTAATCCTATTTCCTGTGTTGCGTACATTACCTGGAATACGGAATTGTGGCATCATCTGGTTGATTAACATTACATATATGTATATATATATATATAAACATATTGATTTCTATTACATTTTAAAAAACAAATGTAGACATCTTTAAGTAGATCTAAAATGGCAGTACTACTTCATCTTTAATCCTTGTGTTTTGAGCATTACCTGGAATTTGGAATTGTGACATCACATGGTTGATTACCATTGTATACAATATATATACTAGCAGAAAAAAGAAACTGTGCCAGTGTAAAATGTCCATGTATTGCTCAGTTTTATTGATTAAAGCTTGAAACTGGGCACATGTTCTTTTCACAGATGAGTCCAGACTTCATCTTGACAGCAGTGATGATCATTCTAGAGTGTACTGTCATGCTGGTGAATGTTTCAATGACGGTTGTGTGATTCCATGATGTCCATTCAGCATAGGTAGTGTTATGGGGTGGGGTTGCATCTCATTTTGTGGAAAACAGCTCTTGTAGATGTGGATGTGGATGGCACACTTACAGGCATCAGATGCTTCCACAAAATCATTTGGCTTCACATCATTCCATTTGTGCAGCAACAAAACACCATGCATGCAACAGGATAATGCTTGTCTGCACATTGTGTTGGCCGTCACCGACTTTTGATCCAGAACAATGCGAATGTGCTGCCCTGGCCTGCAATGTCATTGGATATGTCGCCTATAGAACACTTGTGGGACGAGATGCAGTGTTGCTTATGTTGCCTCCAAAATCAGCTATTGACGTTATTGACCTGTCACATGCACTTGTAAGAATATGGAATGGAAGTCCCCAGGCATTTTTCAGCACACTTGTCAAGTATGCATCAATTCCAATGGTGGACACACACTGTATTGATGAGCTGCACATATTAATTTCCATTACAATTTAAAACACAAATGTAGACATCTTTAACTTATTTGAAAATGACAGCACTATTCCACTTTATCTGCCAGTACAATCTGTATATTCAATATGCAGATACATATATGTATAACCACATTTCATAGTGGCAGATATGCCTAATGATCTACTGTTGATCACAGCCAGTCAAAATAGGTCATGATTGAATTCCATATAAGTTAGAAGTTTAAAATTAAATGATTAGGAGATTTGTTTCAGTATGTCTGTTCCAAAACAATAAATAAATAGATAAATAAATTAATTAAAAACAAAGTACATCTGCTGGGGCTCACATAGATATACCTCTATCATCTTTTCATATAAATATCAACCATGTCTGTTCAGTGCTAATTATCATGAGACATCTTGTACTCAAGTTCTTTACTTTAAAACATGTATGGCCAAGTTAAAATGTGGCCTAGCCTTTGAGGTTTAACACTGATCGATGACCACTAAAACCTTTTTATAATCAGGCATAGAACTTTTAACTATAATGCTATATATGCATGGCATGCAGAATAATGAAATGCATTGTTCAGAGATTACTGAAAAATAATTTTTTTTACGCAAAGATGGTCTTGGGTGACCTTTTGAAATTGACCTTGAATGTTGACCACTGAAATCTGATCACGTGTATAGATATGGTGTGATATATGACCCTGGTGTAAAATCTTCCCAAGAGTCCATCAGATTATCTGAAGGGATGCATGGAGTATAAAAAACTGGACTAAAGCAATATGGAAACTGAACTGTGCAGGTGAAAGCAAAGAGTTTAAAAGTCCGATAATGGGACATTATAAAAACACACTATCAAATCTGCATGCAAAATTTATACAGATATATATAGGAAATCACTTATGCTTTAATCTATGTGTTGTTTCATTCTATTTGGGGTATACTAGTATATATTTTGCTGTATGTATACAATCATTTACAGGTTTTGAAATTACATGTATGACCTCTTTATCTGTCAAACTGCTTGTTATATACTTGTTTCTTGCTTTTAATTCAGTGTACTTATAATTAGTTATGCCAATTTGATCAATATGGTTCGAATAGTATTTTATTTGTAAGAATTGTTTTTATTTCACCTGCACATTTATATGCATCATCAACAACATTTTACTTTGAGACAAAGAGTATCAATTATTCATTTTCATTCAGATTCAACAGTTTTCATTTTGCTCAAATTTTGACATGAATCATGATTGCAGCTCATGACCATCAGAACACAGACAGGAGATATCCATGTACAATGTCAAGTGTAGATGTGAAAGTATTTTTAATTTGCTATCCAAATCAGCCACCTGTCCGAGCCAGACGGAAGTCGAACTGTTGTGTTGAAGTTGAAGCTGATGAGGACCTTAACTTAACTTAAATTGTACAAAATGGGCATGTTCATTTTCAGATAAAATACAATGATGGTATTGTATATATGTACACAGAGGTTACTATGAATAAACTCTCACATATATATATATGCATTCGGTATAAATTCTGTATGTTTTTGTATGGCCCTGAAAATTGTCGTTTTTAGTAGTCAGCAATTGTTTAACATGGAGGTGTCAGACACATATCAAGATAACAATCCGAACGCACATTTACAGATAAGCTTGCAATGATGTCAGTCACGGAAATAGAGGGTTTCTATGTCTCCAATGCATCTATTAAGAATCCTAAAAGTAAGGATACTCACTGTGGATCGACTCAGTATTCGCAACATGACACCGTTTAAGTATGACGTTTGTATATGCAGAGACAGGTACAAAGTTCACAGGTAGTGATAAAGACGAATTTCTTCAGCTGTTTACAACTTGTACACATGCGCACAAATTATGTGTTACTTCCGGAGTTACTTTCGTTTTATGAAAAGATGTCAAAAGATCAAACGCCAACAATGATTATGGGACGAAAACCAACCGATCAAAGAAATAAAATAAATTATAGATAGCTAAATAAACATAATAAATGAATACCGATATGATAAACAAATGCAGTCAATGCGACGAAAAACAATCTGTCTGTGACGGTCACATAATTTTGTAGCAGTTACTTCCCTTTAAGCATGCATTTGTCTCCCCCAACCCACGATCTGTGATATATGTATATAAAAACAAGAAAATACCAACATGTCAAGATAATCATAAACCAAACTCAAATTTAATAAAAATAGGGCAAAATATCGTCAAAAGAAAAATTTACACGGAAACTCCTGAAAAAGTACAAGGTGAATAAGACCAGGTGTGCCGGAAGAGTCATCTGCTTCGTCATCATGTCATCATGTTTATCATACACCTTGGTGGAAAGCTGTCCATGTAGGTTCCATTGTAGGGGAAGATCGAGATAAGTGGCTGATGTAGATGATGTATATTATATGTATAACGTATAAAGTGCATCTTCGATACCCCATCCCTGGAACATGTCATTGCAAAATTAAAGGCACAAGCGAAGTGATTTGATTGGTTCCATGAAAAAAGACTAATCAAAGGCTGGTACGCACCCATTGAAGATTACAAAAGAGCGACATCCAACTTCAAAGGTATTACAGTATAGCGTTATGCGACCTCGAGGTTCGTTTGATGTACATCAAAGGATCAAACTAGTCGTTTCGTCTTTTCCATTTTGCATTCTACTTACAAGAGATATTGAGGCTTCAGTTTTGCTGCCAATGTATGTCGATCTCAACAGAGGTATCTGAAAGTTGTCCATTTACAAAGGTCACTTTTCAACGGACAACCAATGGAAAACGGACCCTCTTCCAGGGTCTGTTTTCAACAACAGAGTCAGTTTTCCACGGCTAGCCGGTTCCGTTTTCAACGTTAAAAATAGACTCCGGGTCCATTTTCAACGGCTTTTAAGTCTATATGTGACATCTATCGTTGCTCATAATACCAAATTACATGTTCATCATACCAAACATGTTGGAATCCCTGGCTATTTAAATAATGACTTGCTCTGCTTCGCTCTTAGCCGCCTTGTTTTGTTTGTAATTTTGATATCGTGAATTTTCCATTTTTAGGCGGTTATGTTCTTATTACCTCAGCCTGATTTGATAACTTATTTGTCGCAGTTAATTTGATAGTTTAGGGCTTGTTCCAAATGTCACGGTTACTGTGATAGGTGTCACCAGCGGAAGGGAAATTACAACACGTAATTTAAAAGAGATACAGACTGAAGAAAACTACAGAAAAATATAGTCGTCATCATGATTTCAGAGAAAAATATGAAGTTACCTAGAATGAGATGATGACAAACCTACAGAACACTAGGTCTGATTCTCCTTGTGGTTATCTAGCATTCTAAAGACGTGGCAGTGTAGATCTCAAGGGCAAGGAACTTAAATCATACATCACTGTTCTCACAGCGATAAAAGATTAACATACGGAAATATGCCTTTTTTCCACGATAATAGGCACTATGAAGAATTGGTGCCGGCGCCACCATTGACTACTTTAAAACAGCCTGGAAAAGGATATGTATTGGATCAACCAAGATATTCTGTATCATTATAGAACTAACGGTGACGTTAAATAAATAATGTAATTAATTCCATTTCGTGTATTACATGTATGCTGTCCATATTTTTCAGTCCGTTGTGGAGAAGCAAATAGATCCTGAATCGGAAACCAAACTAAACTTAACTATACTAAACTTATACTTATACCTCCATACACACTTTTCCTTAACTCACAGTTTTGCCTTACAATTGTTGATATTTCGATATTTTCATGTTTTATTTCAGAGCATGGTAGGTCGCATTGTTTCATTTCCAATTTTTTCACATCATTTAGCGAGTCTTGTACCAAGTAATTTCTAATGTTTGTCTACAATGCAATGCTTTAAAATCATGATATCACTTCGAATAAAAGACATTCCACAAAATGAGAAAATATCGTTTGGGTTTGACTGTTACATTTTGTAACGTAATAATAGTTACATGATTGTAGGAGCTGCTATTGTAGAACTATATAACCTTTCTGGCCTCTATTTCAAGGGAATATACATGAAGTGGCCATAACGACTTCGTAAATTTAAAAGGGAGATGGTTTGATAGTAAGGGGTGACTAGCCCGTTGTCACTCCAATGTAAAGAGTTTCAGTTTCAATACAGGGACAAGTATAGTCCTATACTATGGAATTAGCGGTAAATGCGTATAATTAGGTATTTTTACGCTAATTTTATGATAAAACACTAAACGTTTGTAACACTACAACATATTCGAAAGAAACTTCGATTTAAAGAAGATATAATTTTACATCCTTCAATATCGAGACAGGACAAAACTGAGACGAGATACTAGAAATATCCGACCGTCGTGCTATTTATGTAAACGTTTGGCTGACCCTGTGTGACAACAGGTGAAGGTCACTATGAACCAAGATTCCTTGCTGATAAGGCTGTGCACGCGGCAGTTTCTTCAAGATACCTGTACGAATTCGTTCAAAACAAAACGACGTTCGTAACTCGTCAGTCATGAGGACTGTTGCTGTGATAGGGGCCGGGGCCAGCGGCATCACGGCAATCAAATGCGCTCTAGATGAGGGACTGGAACCTACATGCTTCGAAAGAACGGACGACATTGGTAAGTCAGAAAAGCTGGATGTCTATTTTTAGCGTATGTGAACATAAAGGGCCATGCTCGTTTTGCGCATGACTGTATATATTTTTTCACAAATTGCACAAAATACTATTATTTCTATGTGACACTAAGAATAATTGCGATTATACGAAAGCATAGGACATATATAAAACAAGTAAACGGAACAAAAGAGAAGAAGCTTTATTATTAAGCGAAGATTTGATAACCATTGCAATAGCGAATAAGGACCAATAATTCGTGTTATGATGCTAAAATTTGATTGAAATCTCGTTTAAACACGACCAACTTCACTAAAAAAATAAATTAACACTAACAATATCAATAACGAGTTTGACTTGCTGTCATATACAATCTGATGATAATGCTAACCAAAAGTGACTTTAGGATGTCTCTCTCCCACTCTCTCTCTCTCTGACGTCTGCCCTATGACGTTAATAAAACTCCATTTGCGATAGCAAACTCACCGATATAGACGTATTGAGAACACTTAAAACATACGAAAGTACCATTTATATTTATTTGTTGGAAAGTTTTTGATATTTACGCCAATATCATAGTGGTTATATTCGTATATTTGGTAAGGTTCGTTTATGCTATTATGTCATTTTGCTAATCGAGACGGCAGTCTGTTTCACTCTTGTGTTTAATGCAAAACAATCTCCAAATTTAGAAACATTTGAAGATAAAATTTTATGTGATTGGAACTTAGTGGTTTGCATCTGCAGTGTCTCAAAATGTAGCCGCTTTATTCGCAACGTTGAGATATATTTTGGTTGTTTATGTTTAAAGCCATCAGTAATTATCTATAGCTTCTGATATATTTTCGGACTTTTCTTCACATTCATTCCAATGAAAACTGAGCACTGTTTATGTACAGTAACTTTAAATGGTAACACATCACAAAAATGCGAGTTTACATGCTTGAAGCAGTTCATTTTGTAAGTGCGATGACATTTAAAGAAATACATGTCGAGGTCTTTGATTCCTGAGTTTTAATACTTTGATATTTTAGCTTTGTATAGATTAAGGCAAATCAGACATCGCCGATAATTTGAAGACTGGATAATGTTCCTAATCAGCAAACAATTTTCACTGCAAAACTTTTGCAAATAATGGAGCTATGAAAACCAAGTCGCTTTCCATATTGCAAGGCACGCTGCGGTATTATCTAATAGCCGGCGTTACTATATCTGTAAATGATTTCTTATAGCAAGGTACCACAGACATGTGTTGACTTGTTTCGTTACATTTGTTTGTCGAGTAGCTGTTACCGGAATATTTATATATTAGCGTCAAATGATATCATATCTAGGTGTTTTTGATGTGCTTAATTCCACGTAATACAGGTGTCAGGAACGTCTCGTTAAATGTCTCTAACCTTCAAAAGATAAACAGGTATGGATACGTCAGTTAGAATTTTAGTTTTTTTTTGGTACATGTTAGAGCCATTTAAAATATGTTGACGAAGACAAGTAAATTCGAGCACATTTTTTTTCTATGCAAAAATGAAATTTGAAATCGGTTCTCAATAAACTTGCTTTCAATTGAAATCATTCACAGGGTGATCGTTTGTGTACCAAGGCCGAATAGAGAGCAAGCGGCAATCTATTTGTTTTTTAATACATATCATTATATTGATTCGTTTAACGGTGTTGTAATGGTCAGTTTTGATATAGCGACAACATCTACTTTGAATGTCTGAAAATATGCAACTATGTTTAAAGATTTATTTGTGTTTGAGGAAAAGTTCAAAATCGTGTTCTATGTCATTTAATGTTTGATAACTATTCGGAGATAGGATAGAAGAATCCTTTCAGGTTTGTAACGTTACATACTTTTTCGACACAGGGACTTTTATCATTACTAAAGGTCAGGCGATCACAGTAAGGACCTAAGGTGAACTGCCCAGGTGACTGAATTATCTCAAGTTCAGCTGTTTTTAGAAGTCACAAGGCTATCTCGGTCACCAAGATTGAAGACGATAGCAACCTGTTATGACTCCCATAACACATACAATAAATATCACAGAACTGATAGCCTGCGTATTTTAGATAATAACTGAGAAATAAACTTAATAATTGTTTTAGTCAATCATATTGATTGCACTCATCCAGACCCTCGATCACAAGAAGGCTTTCGATCACATGATTGAGCAATTTTCTAAGCTATGTAGATTGTAACAGTTGTCATTGGGAGATGTTTGAGTATCCAACAGCAAGCATTTTGTAACGTGCATGCTATGTTTGCTTATATATGTAAAATTTCTCAGTTGTTATAGAAACAACACTGCATCTCATGCTGTTTTGTTTTCATGACGCAACGGTATAATGGAGTGAACGTGCCTGAATGTATTCAAATGTGCACACGATATCGAATAGTATCTTCCAAAAAAGACAAGCTGTAGCTCTTATGGGCTCCCTTGTCCTCTATATTTTTGCTTGATAATCGTTTCCCCTCTTTACACTAGAAATAGAATAAGGATGACATGCATAAATCTGCACCCTCGCCAACCGTGTTATTGCGCAACAGAGTACCATAAATTAAAAAAAGAAAATAAAAATATGTTACGTAATACTTAGACGTAACAAGGACAATACAGACCTTGAACCATACATATAAGGACATGAACGCATTTTTAAATCTCCCAGTGAGATTATTCACATTGGAGACGCGTAGACATTTCGTAAATGTTTGTTTTCAATTCAACCTGTATTAAGACAAATGACGCGGCTCGCAATTGTCACATTTTGGTCACGACATATTTTGTCAATCGATTGTACAGTCAATTGTATGAGTTACCATAAAATATGAAAGTTTTAAAAGCGGTGTTAGAAGTTTCATTTCATTGGGATCTAGCGAGGTTAGAAGAAATTTAAAAAATCAATTCACATAAAATTTTCAAATTTTGTTTATTTTTCACACAAGTCAGATTCTTTTGAATGAAGAATAGAAAAAAAAAATAAATAAAAACGGAATTTTATAAGACTGCATCATAGCTGAATAGGTGATACTCTCACTATCGTGAGGCTGTTGCGTCACAATGACAACAATGGGAGCCTTTAATTAACCACAGATCCATCAGGTACATTTGTGTCACAAGAATGGCATGATGGATGCTATTAGATTGACAACGGTTGTGATAATATGAGTGACATATTTCAATACTTTAGAAATAGTACCAGAATACATGTCAAAAAATGTCAATATCGGGAAATTTAGGAGGCGAATCAGGAAAATCGGAATTGGTAAAATCGAGAAAGGGAACACTAGTGTTGCTTGGAATTTTCGTCCTCTTTCTTGCCTTTGAACGTTGTCTTTTCTGCATTCTGTAATTAGTCAATGGAATTTATTCAATTCTAATTATATTTCTAAACGTAATATTTAAATAAATTCAGAGAGTTATTCTGTCGTGCTAAAATACATCTGTTTTCCGTCACTGCCGAATACACTAAAATATATATGTGGCAGGTGTATTCCGCCAACGGCGGTGCCAATTGCAGGATAAAAAGAAGTTTATGACACTGCATAGACAACTGTCCTCTCTTAGTCCCGCAATATTGTCTCTTCACTTGTATTGTTGCTATGTATATGCCATTGAGGTTGTTTTGTGGTTTAAGGTGGATTATGGAACTACACGGAGGCTGTGAGGTCAGGTCAGGCATGCGTGATGAAATCAACGGTTATCAACACTAGCAAAGAGATGATGTCTTACAGCGACTTCCCCATCCCAAAGGAATACCCCATGTTCCTCCATAACACTCACGTCAAAAGCTACTTTGATGAATATGTGGAACACTTTAATATAAAGAAATATATAAGGTTCCAAACAGAGGTATGCTTAATTGTAAATTGGGGTCAAAAATATACATGTTATCAATGATTTCGTAAATACGTTTCCTATTGGACAAAGTCTGTTTGAATTAAGACGGTCTTATATAAAAGATGGAAACTTCATTTACAATCCCAATAAGACTGTTCGGATTTACGAACCCGTCTTCTACCAATTCGCTCTTTAATTATAGCGTCTAAAATGGTCTAACTATCCATTCTCTCTTACTATTATCGTTTAACTGTTGTAAAGGTGTTGATGGTCAAACCTACGTCCGACTTTTATAAGACCGGACAGTGGTCTATAAAAGTAAAGGACATGGCTTCAGGTAAAGAGGAAGAGACAGTCTTCGACGCCGTCCTTGTTTGCACAGGTCACCATGCCCACGAGAACATGCCTAATTTTCCTGGTCTGAAGGAGTTCCAGGGCACTGCCATCCACTCGCATACTTACAAGAGCAGTCAGGGATACGAGGGAAAGTCCGTCGTGGTGGTAGGCATCGGCAACTCTGGTGGGGACGCCGCTGTGGAGCTCAGTCGTGTAGCATCCCAGGTACTTTATAATCGTTGCTCATGTCATGTTTTCAGCTGCATAGACAATTCTGTCTTTATAGGAATCTTCTCTTTTCATCCAATGATAAATCGTGTCAGTCGATATTTTGACCGGTGTTTTTGTTTTTATGTTTTCACCGTCTTTGATACTTTTAATTGCACATCCATCCATAATTAAAACTAGTAACGTGTACATGGGAATATTCGTTTATCAGCAATAAGGACTGATTCAAGAAACGACTAATTACATAATTTGTTTTATTGATAAAAATCGTAATATTGTACAATCATGTTCAGTTTATTTACTGCAATTCTCAGTTGTACCTATCTACCAGAAGAGGAAGCTGGGTGTTTTCACGTATGGGCGGGTCCGGCATGCCAGTAGACATGATAGTCGTACAGAGATGGTTGGATGTTGTCATTAACCTGCTTCCCGTCAGTGTTGTCACGTGGATGATGAAAACATGGCTAAACAAACGCATTGATCACAAATCCTACGGCCTTGAGCCTGATCACAGCCCTTTGGCCCAACATCCAACGGCAAATGATGAACTTCCAAACCGTCTATCGTGTGGGTCAATCATCATTAAACCTAACATCAAACGCTTTACGCGCACCGGCGTTATATTTGAAGACGACAGTCACGTGGATAACCTTGATCACGTCATACTCGCCACGGGCTATGTGTTTGGATTTCCTTTCATTCATAAATCCGTACTGGATGTAAAGGATAACCAGATCCAAATGTACAAATACATGTTTCCTCCCGATCAGGTCAGACACACGCTAGCTGTGATAGGCTGCTTCCAACCTATTGGAGCCCTCATGCCAATCTCAGAAATGCAGTGTCGACTAGCCACACGTGTTTTCAAGGTAGGCCATGATCCTAAAGATATTTTATTGGAATAAAAAAAAACCCAAATAGCAATATGCTTGGAATTATGACACCTGAAGTCTTATTGACCATTTCATACCTCCAACTCCCCTTTATAAAGTTTGCCACTGGAATTGCTTCTCGTTCTAGTTCTGTTCGCTGCAATAAAATAAACCATTTAAGTTCTTGTGTGATGTTGTCTGCCAATTGAAGGAGTGAACTCTCTTAACGTAAACATTTTCATTAAATTTGGCTGGAGGAACCATAACTGAGGTTTAGTGCAAGATGATTTCCCAAGTTCTGGATGATTTACTAATCTTTTTCAAACTGCCAAGGAATTATTAAAGAAGATGTTTTGTTTTATTTGTGATAAAACGCCCAAAAGAATCCATACGGTCTGTTTTCAATGGCTACTGTATTATCGGACGTTCTGCCTGACAACAGTTACGAAGGATACAAAATTTGGTTAGCACTTAAGAAATGTATTATACAGTAACGTAATAAAATTAGATCTAAACATACTTACGGTTGATTATACACCACAGGGCGATGTCACGTTGCCTCCTAAGGAAGAAATGTGGGATGAAATCAAGATGAAGAGGGACATGATGGCATCTCGTTATGTTAAGTCAGCCCGCCACACAATACAAGTGGATTTCATCAACTACATGGATCAGTTGGCCACTCTCAACGGCAACCGACCAAACTTTCGTAAGTGCACCTGACCCTACTAGTCAGGAATTAGAAATACTGTTCAAATATCGAATTCTTTGTGTAGTCATTCCAGCAGGAGATATTATTAAACCACATGGTCGATTTGTATTCATTTCAAACGTTGTCCCCTCCTAAACGTAGAGAATCTCAATCTGGCCGGTGACACATGTTCTATGTGTCAACCGGCAACAAAGTCCTGTAAACAACAAATGTTTCATATATATTCACTACATTCAAGACATTGTGCTTTCAGTTAAATTGATGTTGACCGATCCCGTTTTGGCGTTCAAGTGTTTTTTTGGCCCATGCTCACCCTACCAGTACCGTCTTCAGGGTTCTAGAACCTGGCCTGGAGCTCGCAAAGCCATCTTGTCCCAATGGGACAACGCCGTATCCGCTCTCCGCACACGGGCAATGGGGGGCAAGCAAAACGAGACCGGAGTCATGATGTACCTTGTTCTCATTGCAGTGTTGATAATAGCATACCTGTATCGTTTTTTTCTGATGTGAAGACAAACAGTCCAGTATCATTATGATATGGATACGAGACCTGCGTAGTTTTTATTATAGTGAGTGCTATCAACAAGAGAAATTTTGCTTCCTAATGCTTTTGATAAACATTTCTTAATTATTCATATCAAATTATCATTATTTTGGAACATGAACGATTGATAGTACAATGTACAGTTCATCAATGTATTATCTCTGTATATCAAACTGCTTCACTCCACAGGACTTTGTTATTGCTTTCACTCATATACTCTAAGATCAAAATCAATACGATTTTATGGTCTCATTTCCCGTTACCAATATGAATACCACCGTGCTGTCATATCTTCCTGCAAATTCTTCAGATGGAGCTAGAACGATGCGACTGTTTAGAAGCATGTGTGTAGGATTTATAGATCCCTGTTGGTTTTATGGAACAGTTTTACATATCATTTGCGCTCTTGAAATCAAACACGTAAAGTATATATTACATACACTGTGTTACCTATATATACAATTCTAAAAACCAAATCAATAAACAGCGATGTCAATGGATGTTAATGTTCTTGTTTTGATACTATTTAATACCCACTATACCTGGTGATAATCTCGTTATAAAAGTATCATTCACCTGGCATGGAAATCTTAGAACACACAAATCACTTCTACGCCGAAGTAGTGTGGTTATTACTATACTGAACAAAATAAGTTAAGGATCATAAACTTGAAACAGTGCAGTTTTACATACAAATAATAATATGATTATATTTTAAATTTTAATGACAGAACATTCATTTTAGTCTTTAATTACACAAAACAAATTCATTTGTGGTAATTGCTACCAAGAGCAGATAACCCTGAGTAACAGCACCCTTGAAATCAAAGTGTAAGAGGAAGTAGAGCAAGTTAATCATGTAGACAAGGAAAACTCATCAAACTGCAATTGGCAGTTTAATAGGCAGTATGACCTCCGTTGACATCAATAACTGCCCTGCAACGTCTGCACATGCTCCTTATTAGTCGTCGGTGGCTGATCTGTGGGATGCGCTGCCATTCCTCTTGCAGAGCAATCATAAGCTGTTGGCGGTTCTGTGGCGGATTAGGTCGATGAAACCCGGCGTTGCAAGGTGTCCCAAGCATGCTCGATAGGGTTCAGATCAGGAGAACGACTTGGCCAGTCCATGCGAACGATTGCTTCACGTTGAAGATAGTCGTTGACCACACGAGCACGGTGAGGACGAGCATTATCATCCATCAGAATAAAATCATGGCCAACAACTCCTGCAATGGGCCTTACTAATGTATTCATCGAACAGCTGTTAAAGATCCATTGTCTATGATGTAGAGGTCTGTATGGAAGTCAACACTGATCCCTGCCCAAACCATCACTGACCCACCACCAAAGCGATCATGCTGGACAACACAGCAGTCTGCATAGCGCTCTCCTTGGGTTCTCCATACCCTCCTCCTACCGTCATGGAAGTCAACACAAAACCTAGACTATCTGTGAACATAACATTTCTCCAATGACGTAATTGCCAATTCAAATGATGAGTGGCCCATTGATGTCTGGATTGTCGATGACCTCTGGATGGTCGGACTGCTGGTCTTCTAGCTCGTAAATTAGAGGCATGGAGTCTGTTTCTGATTGTCTGGGATGAAATCCTTAGATTTGTAGCACGCTGAAACTGAAGATTCAAGACAGGAGCACTCAAAAACCGCTGACGTCGTGCCGTGATGCAAATGAATCTGTCCTGTCGGGCTGTCGTACAGCGTGGTCGTCCAGATCTGGGGCGTTGACGGACGTTATTTGTCTGTTGATAGCGATTCCATAGCCTACTAATCACGCTCTGAGAAACATGAAGCTGTGCCGCTACATTTCGTTGAGTTTGACCAGCTTGAAGGAGCCCTATAGCTCGCGCGGCTTCCATATCATTTAAATGTCTTCGCATGATTAGTTTTTCAAGTTTTCGTTACAAATTGATTAAATGTTTCCAAATTCAACTTTTTTTAGCTTAGAAGTAACAGAATCAAAACCTGCAAGATTCCTCTGTAGTAATAGACCAGTCAGTTTTTCACACCACCATAGTTAACTAGAGCGGAACGGCAAGACCTTCAGATGCACGTGCTTTCACCTTTGACATGACTTTAGGTACATATTGGAGAAACTACGAGTGCAATTACCGGCAATACATGATTTGAATTTTTGAAGATATTATGGTCACAATTTATGATCCTTAACTTATTTTGTCCAGTATATATACATACCCTTGGTACAATATATGGAAAGATACTGACCTTAAGGTAATTGTACATGGATAAACAGCACCAACTACTGACTAAAGCATGATAGGTTATGTCATGTAAATGTGATACAAGTCCTCAAATAATTCAAATATCCACCACTAATTATTCACTTTGGTATCATCTTATACATGACAAACTAATATTTTAACAATATATTTACCTTCTGTATTGCATCTGCCTATATGTTATTAGTATACGACTGTACAATTTTCGTTGATTCGGTAAGTGCAGGAATGCGTTCAGATGTCGGGTAAACAAACATGGCCGCCTGTCACTTTTGGTATTGGTATATTGACATACCTGACTTTTTTTTCTAAAGCCCTTCACAAACGATGAAGGTAATTTTACGGTGGTATGAAAATTTATGAGAATAAATTTATTGCCAAACATGTTATTTGCCACAGATTCTTTATAAGCACTATAAAATACGAAATGAGGCCAAAATGTTTTTTCAGCGTCGTCTGCTAGACGTTTGACAGCCAAAGCAATATATCCTTCTGACAAAAATATATCCACGGGATTGGTCGTTCCACTTATTGAAAGGAACAGCTTCTATTTAGATTTTCTATAGTTATTATGTTATGAAAATCACATAAATCCACGCATTGTAAAGCAATTGTCGGCGTGCAAACTCTGTGTCGCCTCGTGTGCGATCGGATAAGATATTAAAACCCAATAACGGCTTTTATTGTAAACAAAACTGAAAAAAAGTCAACTATCTTAATTTTTAGGAGTTGGCGATAAGTTTAATATATAATAATTAAAGTTAAATCTGTAAATATTTGAGACGATTGTTGTTTGTGTGGAGACGATGTACTTCGTTATTTCGACTGTTTTTGTAATTGAGCTTATTTATATCAGCATTTGGTTAAGCGGGGGATTTCAGTGCCGCTTTTGTTACAGATCACGCTGATCATATTTGAATGTAAATATAAACATTGAACTGCTACCGGGTGACACAACTATCGTCACTTTCAAATATGACAGTTGAAGCTCGCAAATACGAAAACGGTCACATTCTGTCATCAATCTAATAGCAATTAGTCATTTGTTGATTAAAAATGCTGAGGAGCACGTGCTTGATCCTTGGTGAATGCACATTTACCAGTAAAATTATCATTATAGCATTACAGTGATCGGATATTGCCTTACTACATATATAACAATACAATATACATATATAACAACTTTTAAATAAATTCCTTAAAATTTAATTAAAAGTTTGACAATCTTTGATCTTAATCCATTTATCCAGATAGGTAAGTGATATTACTCAACGCAATTTTTAGTATAGATACTTGTATTGTGCTATTTTATGTTATTTATAGAATGCGTGCCAATGCTAATTATAGGATGAATTCAGGTTAATAAGTATGTGTACAAAATTAACTAGGATGTGGTAGTACTTTTCCTTTGGGCGAGTAGTATAGTGTTCGGCTAGATACACAAAGATCGCTAGTTCGAACCCAGGCGAGGACAAGCAATGTTTTTCATTAGTCATTTAATTCCACGAGTGAGATTCTTAGTTCGAGTTACTACACTTGCTTGTCTTCGGGGACAAAGACTTGTGAAGGTGAGAGTACTGTAGAATTTGAGAGTACACGTAGCCATCCTAGTTTTGGATTATGTGAATTTCATTTTCATTTAACTACAGACTGACGAAAGGTCGGGACATTGTAGTTCGAACCCCAGTGGGGACAGCACAAGACATGTTTTTCGGTACTTCTTCCTGTTTTATAGGTATCAAATCAGAGTTGTCTCCCTTGCATCATTCTACGTCCTGATATCATGAAAACAACATTGCAGGGTTATTGTCGTAAATGATGATTTACAAATTATACATTATGTAAACATTAAAAAAAATTAATATATTTTGTCTCCAACAACTGTTACCTGGCGCGTCATTGTTTATTTAATTTGATTCACCAAACTATGAATATCAGCAATATGTGAGTTAAAGATAAATACATTAGTATTTCCGCTCCTTGATATGATAATCAATATCTCTACATATCTGTATATCTATATCATTATATTTCATCGTGCTTTTGTTCCTAAAGCTATAGAACTTGTTCTCCCTTGTCTTGTTTGTGTACTACGCGTCCCTTCATTGTCTTGTTAACATACTACATATCCCACTTTGTGTTATTTGTATACTACGTGTCATTCGATTGTCTTGTATGCATCCTACACGTCCCTCTCTTTTCTTGTTTACAAACTGCACGTCCCACTCTTTTCTTGTTTACAAACAACACGTCTCTCCTTTTTCTTGTTTACAAACTACACGTCCCTCTCTTTTCTTGTTTACAAACAACCCGTCTCTCCTTTTTCTTGTTTACAAACTACACGTCACTCCCCTGTCTTGTTTACAAACTACATGTCCTTCTCCTATCTTGCAAACAAGCTACACGTCGGGTCTGAAAACATGTGCTCATGTTACCGTGACCACAGTACCTACTTGTCCCTTCCTTACCGTGATAACATAAGTGTCCCTCCATGCTGTGTTAAGATTTGTCCCTCCCTTACCATGATACCATATATGTCCCTCCATGCTGTGTTAACATCTGTCCTCCCTAACCGTGATAACGTACGTGTCCCTCCATGTTGTGCTAAGATTTGTCCCTCCCTAACCGTCATAACGTACGTGTCCTCCATCCTGTGTTAAGATTTGTCCCTTCCTTACCGTGATAACGTACGTGTCCCTCCATGCGGTG